ATCACCAGAACGTGGGTTTCATTTTCCAAAATGTCTCGGTACTGCTGTATCATGCATGTACAGATGTACAGAGTTCGTACTTTGTCAGAAGGACAACTCACCGGCGTCCCGCTGCCGATAGCGAATGCGTTCATGATGTTGCCGCCCAAGGTGCCTTCGGCGGCTCTCTTTTTGCTTTCCTTCCCCCGATCCACAGCAGTCCGGCGGCCCGCTGCCGCTGCTGTGGCCGTCTCCGCGATGTAGACGGTGCACCTCATGCGCCAGCACTTTGCTGTGACGACAACGATAGGCGAGCGCTGCTGATGATACCCCGGATTCGCCCATCAATCTGGTTGGTCCACTCTTCCGGCCCGAAGACGCCACTGGTTTTCAGCCCCCACGTCACCTCCATGGCCTCTCAGTCTGCCCTCTTGAGGCAGTTGCCAGCAATGACATGTTCTTTGATGGCCTCGAAGTGTCGATCAAGAATGACACCTCTTTGACTAATCTTTGCCAGTTGATTGAGCTCCTTCAATATCTCAAGGGGTAAGACATGGTTCACGTGCATGCAGACAGCAGGCACGCAGCGTGAGTCCGCACGGCACGCAGTGTCATGTGCACGCGTGTAACATACGCGACGGGGGGGGCGCCGTGTTGAACAAAGCTATGTACCCCTCCCCCCCTCCGCACCAGTATTATTTGAAAGGGGCACCCCCCCCGCGCTGATCTGAAACTGCCGGTGGGGTCGTCACCGGTCACCCGCGAGCATAGCCCCTCACCCAGCTGCGCTCACCTCTTCGTAAGTTCTTATCTTGCAGCTGCCACGTTTTGGGGTTCTGTTCTTATCTATAAGCACATTGTTGCACCACCAAGGCGGGTTCTTGTTCTTAACATCACGTCGGAACTGAGCACGTGTTCTTATGGCCAAGTTCTTAAATTTTGAATTTTTTGAGGCTGCATTTCTTAAGTGCTAAGTTCTTAAGTGAGAGCGCCATCTGTATCAGATTTGGTCACTTTTCATGGTTCGGCGTTTCTTTCTCTCGCGGCAGTGAGTCTTTTATCGCAAATCCTTCTCAGGGGCACGCAGGAGGCTTGTCGGTACATTAACGTCCGTCCGTGCCCGAAGCTCGGTAGACCTCCGTGGCGCGTGTGGTTGACGGCCAAAGTTGCGAAAATTGGCTCAAACCCCCGGGGACGCGTTCCGCGTTGAAAAAGCCTGGCGAACCAATTCTGAAACCTATCAAACCGAGTAGTGTTGTACCACATAGTGTTTACACATTGATAGTAGATCTTTAGGACTAACGCGTTCTGATTGGTCGGGCGTTATTCGGCGTTGGTTCTGGCGGCCGATTCCTCTCCAGCGCCATCTTCCCGTTCCGCATTCCGAGCAATGTGTAACCAAGACTCGGCTTCAATGTAGAATAACAACGTGCGCGATGTTTTGTGCGGAAATACAAGCGTTATAAGCTACACAGTCCGTCTTCGGGCAATGCGCATGTGCGCATGTGGTCTTGCGTCACCTGAGGGAGGGTAGACACCCACGTCCCGAAAGGAGACCTTGTAGTCTATGTATAGCCCATGAAAGCCACGAATTGAATGTCGGGGAGGGTGTGGCAAGGCGTATGCTTATTTTTGCGATAAGCAAAAGGCCGCTTTCTTTCTGCAGAGGCAAGAGGGCACGCGGATTCAAATACGTGAAGCACACCCCAAACTGGATGAAGAACAAATCAGGGCGTACTCATTTGTTGCTTGCCTTAGTCATTTGACCATTGACCACGCGTCCCTTTCGAGACAGAGCACCGTTCCTACCCCTACTAGAGACACCACCAACATTTGGGAGCTCTTTACGTTTCTGCCACAAACTACATAAAAATTTATTGCACATCTTGTCCCCGTCCTCTAGGGCCTGTAGTGCCCACCATCTATCCCCAATTATCGCGATCGTTTTTTCGCTGTTGTCTAATTTACCAAACTTGTCCATGTCACACCCTCTCTGTCTCATTTCCTCCTCGAGATCCTCTCTTTCCTTCCTGTACAACTCACACTCCCCAACTATGTGGGGTCTACTCTCCTCCGATTTGCCACATGGACATGTGTGTCTATCCTCCTCTTCCTCTCTCCTACGGCTGGTACAACTCTTCCTCCGTTCTGGCAAGTCCAGATCGCCTACTCGAAATTGCAATTTCAGCTTTTTTGCGTAGTCCATGGGGCCGTCCAAGTACGTCTTCATCCCTATCCCTTCTTTCAACTTCCCGTATATCTCCAAGTGGTCTTCGCTTCGTACGTTCTTCCGAAGGGTTGCCTCCTCCCTACTTTCTAGCATCTCCTTGACTTTCGTCTTGAACCCCCCGAACCCTTCCGTGTCCAACGTCTCCTCCTCGTCTCCTATCTCCTTCCAAACCTTCTCTACCACCTTGTCCCATCTGATTCTCTTCTTCCCTGGAGTCGCTTTTCCCCAAGCTGCCTTGTCAACCATGGCTGGCAGTCTATCGTCCGACATTCTACTTACCTTATACTGCCAATTCAACTTCTGCATGTCTCTCTTTGTTTTAAGAGAGTACATTCCCAATTCTGCTCTCAATACAGTGTTGCTCGTTGTACTTGAACATCCTAGTATTTTCTTGGCCGCTGCCATCTGCACCGTTTCCAGCTGCTTGACGGCCTTTTCGTTACCTTCCCATACCTCTCCTGCATACTCAAGCTTAGGTACAATCACATTCAAGAGAATACACCTCTTAATCCTAGTGTCTAGGTGTGGGTCCGTAAGGATGTCGTCCATCTTGCCTATCTGAGCTTTACCCTTCCCAATCAACTTTGCTATGTGTGCGTCCCATGAGCACTCCTTCGAAATCTCTACTCCCAGGTACGTATACTTGTCTACTACTGGTAGTTCTTCCTCCCCCCATTTCCATTTGAGTTCTACGGGATTTTTCTTGTCTTCGTTACAGACCACTACTGCGCATTTTCCTACGTTCGCCGACAGTCTCCATTTTCGGGTGTATCCTACCGCCGCATCTATTTGTTCTTGCAACCCTTCTGGTTTTTCGGATACCCCCACGAAATCATCTGCAAACGTCAGTCCGGACACACTCTTTCCCCCTACTTGGACTCCCTGTCTTACTGCTTCAACCGCCCCTATCAAATCGTTGATGTAAATCTTAAAAAGAGTGGGTGACATCGTACAGCACTGTGCGACTCCTTGGAGTATATCCACGTTCTTCGAAATTTCCCCATCCAACATCACCGCACTTCTTGTGCATTCTGTCATCTTTTTCAACATCCTCCACATTTTCCCCCGGATCCCGATGTCCCACATCTTTTTCCACAATCCATTGCGCCATACGGTGTCGTAGGCTTTTTGTACAT